TCCGATGGTACGAACTAAGTGGCCCTTGAATGACTTTACCGCGGATTTCCATAGACCTCCAAAGTGAGGAGATCTGGGAGGTGAAAATTTCCACTGAATATTTTTGTCGACTAAGTATCTCGATATTTTATCGTTGTGTTTCTCTGTTCTTAATAGTGCGAATAGTTCGGACAGTTTATTTTTTGCACCTACAAAATTAGTGCCATTGTCTGAATAAATAATTTGAGAGTAGCCACGCCGAGCAAAGAATCTTTTCAGATTTGCTAAGAATGCCTCGGTTGTTAAATCACTAACGACTTCGAGATGAATTGCCTTGGTCGCGAAACAAATAAAGACAGCTATGTGGACCTTCAGTATTTTAGTATTCCTAAATTTTTTCTCTTTCATAAAAAATGGCCCACAGTAATCAATCCCTACTACCTGGAATGGTCTTATTGCGGTCACGCGGTCCTTGGGTAGATTACCCATCGGATATTCCGGCATGCTTCCCGGTTTTGCCTTGAAACATTGAATACATTGACGAACAATATGCCTTGTGGTATTTTTGCCATCAATGGGCCAATATTTGTTTCTAACGGCATTCAGAGTACCCAGGATACCTGCGTGTTTAGCTTCGACATGTTGTTCTCGGATAATCAATTGCGTTAGATGTTCAGAACGTGGCAGTAGTATTGGGTGTTTCTGGCTATATTCTAAATCTGAATACTGTAAACGTCCACCGACACGTAATATACCTTCTGAATCGATGAAGGGAGATAGCGAAAATATAGCACTATCCTTTTTTACTGTTTTGAATTTCCTTAGTGTTTCTAATTCCTTCGCGAAGGAACGTTTCTGTAAATACTTTATGATGACCTGATGAGCCTTCAATAATTCCGCGGTAGTGATTTGTCCCGTTATTTTAACCTTGTTTGTAGTGTTTCGGTGAAAGCGTATACAATAAGCTATTACCCTTTGAAGGGTCTTAAATGAAGAAAATCTTTGAAGGTCTAATTCCTCCCTGGACGCGAGTAGGTTAATGCTAGGGCGTTGCTCAGGTATTACAATATAAGGTAAAGGTTTTACAGGCCATCGCGCAGGTATGTCAGCTAGCCACGTCGGTCCATTTAACCATAACGAATTATTTAAAAATTCTAAAGGTGATTGTCCACGAGATATAGAATCCGCGGGATTGTCGGTTGACGCTATATGAGCCCAATTGGTTGAAGTGCTATGCTGTTGAATTTTAGTTATCCGATTGGCAACAAATGTTTTTAAGGTGTGAGGCGGTGAGCGGATCCAATGTAGCACTATTGTAGAATCGGACCAGAAATGGATTGAATCAAAATGGATTTTTGATGCGTTAGATACAGCACGGTATAATTTAATGAGAAGCTCGGCCGCGCATAATTCCAATCGTGGAATTGAAATAGTTTTCAGTGGGGCTATCTTAGATTTGGCGGTAACTAAACGTATCGCTGTATCTTCTCGGTCATTTTCGGATTTTAAAAAGATGCATGCTCCATACGCGACTTCGCTAGCACCACAGAAGCCGTGTAATTCTATTCGTTTTGGATTTCTTATTAATATTTCTCTTGGGGCCTTGAAATTGTTTAATGTGGGTAATTCAGTCAAGAAGTCTGTCTGCGCAGCGGTTTATGGCACGGACGTGCCGAAACGGTTATTTTTGAGAATGGGACTTTGATAATTGGCAGCATGTAATTTTAGTAAAAATTACGTCCCGGCGAGAGAAAGTTGGGTTTACAACCCTCTGGCCTCTAAGGCGCTTTCCCTCGTCCTCAATAACCTAGCCCTGCCATAAAAAATGGGTCTTCCGAAGGGGTGAGTCACGAGTCAGCGTGTAACGGTCAAGGGACCGAGGTGACGAGCTCGGAGGAATTCCCGCGCTGTTGCTAGACACTCGTCAATTTGACAAAGGACATCGCCACCCCCTCTCTAAGGAAACGCGCGTTAAGGGCGCAAGAGAAGGGTGTCGCGATGCATCTTCTACACGCCGATTGGTGTTTTCGAGAAGCAGGAAAACAGCCAATCGGAAGAAATTAGTATTAGCAGCGGCAAGTCGACGAGCGTCATCGATTTGCGAAGTCAGTTATCTCTGAGCAACGATAGAGCGAAGTCCTAACTCTGCAAGCCCAGCAAACAGGCTAGGCCCACAGAAACAGTACAGTCTCAGAAAGGTAGAAACTCTTCTGGGTGGTCCTTCGAGTTATTGTAGACGGCACATTAGAGTGCAATAATCCAAGGACGCGCGTGCAACGGCAGAGCGCTCAAATCCTACACATTGGTCCTTCGAGCCGGATTCAGCGAAAATCCAGCAGTAACACAGAAGTCCAGCTGATCAGCCCACGAGTCATCGGGAACGAGATCCAGTAGCAGCGGTTGCTGAGACCAGTGATTGATTGGCAATCACCCAGCAACCCCGGATCATCCCTGATAGAAGCTCGTAGCAGCCTCCGCAGTGCAGACGCATCAAAGGTGCCTGAGCAGAGACGCAGAGCATCGCAGCACGCTTCGAGGACGCCACTGGACCACGAACAGTTGCAGACACCACGAGTCTACTTCACGGCGAGCTACGTCTGCTGGTGAAGGTCAGGTTAGGTCAACGCGGACAGATCAGGCAGCATCGTCACGCAGCATCCTCTCCAAGTAGTAAGTCCCTCCTTTATTCTAGTTGCGTCAAATAAGTCCAACATGGACGGCGAATTGAAAGCCCTCATTGCCGATCGCGGTTCGATTAAAGCAGCGCTAACTCGCTTTAGGAGTTTTTTCAATCAATCGGGTCACTCGGTGTCGGTAGGCGCGTTAAAAAAGAGATTAGAAGCAAACACAGGCCTATACGATAGGTTCGATACCGTGCAGACAAGAATAGAACGCATTATCGAAGGTACGGACGCGGTTAGTGCACAAGAAGCCGAATGGGAGCATTTTGAGGATGTATATTTCCAATTAATTAGTGAAGTCGAGTCATACGTTGAAGGTGCGCAGCCCCCGCAGCGAGGCACGGTAGCAGGTAGCTCGGCAATGGTAACGGGATTATCGCCCGCATTTAGCAATACCCCGATTAGGGCAAATCTGCCAGTTATTCAATTACCATCTTTCGACGTCAATTATAATGATTGGATTAGGTTTCGTGATACCTTCTTGTCATTGATACACAATAACGAACAATTGGAAGACGTTCAAAAATTCCACTACCTGCAATCCTCGCTAAAGGGACCTGCGGCTCGTATAGTACAATCCATCGGCATCTCCAAAAGCAATTACCGTACAGCATGGGACGCTGTCAAGGCCAGGTATGAAAATTCAGCCGCGCTTAAACGTCACCACGTGCACGCGTTATTAGATTTACCGGCGATACAAAAACAGTCGCCTATCGCGATCAGGGAAATGTTAGATGATGCAAGCAATCGCCTCCACGCGTTGAAAGTGTGGCGGGTACGTCGTCGTCAACAAATCCTTACCAAACCTCGTTCTATTCTTCCACGCGAACTTTCTCTTTTCCAACTCCTTCAGATTTTAGTTTCCGTTCTTTTGTCTCTCCCCGAGTTAAGACTTGCTTTCGTCCTCGAGTGGCCTAAGAAGCGCACATGTGGTAAATTCCACTACCTGCAATCCTTGCTAAAGGGACCTGCGGCTCGTATAGTACAATCCATCGGCATCTCCGAAAGCAATTACCGTACAGCATGGGACGCTGTCAAGGCCAGGTATGAAAATTCAGCCGCGCTTAAACGTCACCACGTGCACGCGTTATTAGATTTACCGGCGATATAAAAACAGTCGCCTATCGCGATCAGGGAAATGTTAGATGATGCAAACAATCACCTCCACGCGTTGAAAGCATTAGGATTGGGCATAGAGACTTGGGACCCCTTGATTGTTCCCATTTTGTCCAGAAAGCTGGACCCAGTCAGCGTTAGGGAATGGGAGCGGCGAAATGCTCCCTCCACCACGGAATCCCCAACACTTCGTCAATTTACGGCATTCTTGGAGGAACGGGCGCACTATTTAGAAAATATTACGTCACTTTCACCGGTAGGGGCAGTAAAGCCCGAGCTAGTAACAGTCCCAGGTAGTCGGAGATTACCGCGTGTAGCCGCTCACGTGGCTAGCGCGTGCGAGGCATGCCCGGTGTGTCAGGCTGCGCACGCGATAGCACAATGCAGCAAATTCAAAGACGCGTCGCTAGAAGGACGTGTAAAAATCGTACAGGATATTCGGGCATGTTACAACTGCCTCCAGACAGGTCATAGAGTGCAAAATTGCACCCGCAACCATTGTAGGCTCTGCGGGAAGAAACATCACTCTTTACTGCATCGAGAGAATAGCTATAAGACCAAGGAGGCAGTTGGAACGTGTGATGGCGAGTCACAAAATACGGTGGCTTGCATCGCCAAGGACGCCAGCAGCACTCCGAACCAAGTGGTATTGTCTACCGCAGTAGTATTTATAGAGGACCGCGAGGGAAGGAAAAGAGAATGCCGTGCTCTACTAGATTTGGGATCACAGGCCAACCTCATCACAACAGAGTGTTGCGATAGGCTGGGGCTGGACCGTTCACGGGCAAATGCGCGAATAGCGGGAATAGCCGCAATCAACAGCAAAGTTGAAGGAAAGGTCGATATAGAAATCCATTCGCGAATAAGAGGCTTCGGTGCTCGCGTCGCATGTTTAATAATGAGTAATATCACGGAAGAGCTACCGAACCTTCCTAGACAAAGATCCGCGATATCAATACCTCCTAATATCAAATTGGCCGACACTCAGTTTCACAAGCGCGGAAAGATCGACCTTCTTATCGGAGCAGAACTCTTCTGGCGGTTACTATGCGTCGGGCAACATTCAGTAAATCGCCATCTGATATGGCAGAAAACGCAGCTAGGTTGGGTGCTAGGCGGAAGGCTCGATTCGGGTATTCGAAACGAAAGCCAGGTAGGCAAGTGCCACGTAGTTACGAACGGGCAATTACATGAGCAGCTAGAAAGGTTCTGGCAGGTAGAAGAGGGCATCACAAACGGTGACGCGATCGACGAATGTGAATCGCACTTTGTCGCGAACGTCAAACGTAACCCCGATGGTCGCTACACGGTCAGAATACCATTCAATGAATGCCAATCAAGGCTTTAGGGAACTCGCGCGGGCAGGCAGAAATTAGATTCAAGTCTCTAGAGCGAAAATTAGCCAGGCAGCCTGAGCTCCGGGGTCAGTATATAGCATTCATGCGCGAGTATGAGCAATTAGGCCACATGTCGCGCATTTCGGAAACTAAGGAGGCTCAAAGTGAGTCTTATTATTTACCTCACCACGCCGTCTCCAAGCAAACAAGTACCACCACGAAATTACGGGTGGTATTCGATGGTTCGGCAAAAACAAGCACGGGTATATCTTTGAATGATAGTCAAAAGGTAGGCCCAACAGTTCAGAGTGACCTCACGTCAATTTTGATTAGATTCAGAACACACCGCTACGTTCTATCCGCTGACATAGCCAAAATGTATCGGCAGGTATTAGTAGATTCTCGCGATAGACCGTTTCAGCGAATTCTGTGGCGGACAGATCCGCGATCACCAATAGATTGCTATGAACTGAACACCGTCACTTACGGTACAGCGTCAGCCTCGTTCTTGGCAACGCGCGTGCTCAAACAAGTAGGCTTAGAGTGCAGTTCAGAGTTCCCGCGTACTAGTAGGATAATCATAAACGATTTCTATGTTGATGATTTGGTAACCGGGACAGAAACGATTGAGAACGCGAAGGAGATCAGGGAGGAAATCTCTAAGATATTGGTAGCCTCCGGTTTTGAATTACGCAAATGGGCGAGCAACTGCTCGTCCATCTTGAAGATCGCGGACGGAGATAGTGATAGGCAATTTAATATAGACAAAGCTCCGAAAACACTCGGTTTGAAATGGTCGCCTGCGGAAGACCAGCTCAGCTACAACGTGCGACCATCGGTTAATAAACGTTACACCAAACGGACGGTATTGTCGGAGATTGCCCAGATCTACGATCCGTTAGGTTTAATCGGACCAATAATAATTCGAGCGAAATTGATGATGCAAGATCTCTGGCAATTAAGGGTAGGTTGGGATGAATCCCTCCCACAGGGACTGCACACGAAATGGACCGCCTATCGTGATGCGTTAGAACGATTGCCAGATATCAAAATTCCGCGATGTGCAAAAATTAGCGAGACAGAGAGTATAGATCTTCACGGGTTTGCGGACGCTTCGGAAGAGGCATACGGGGCCTGCGTATACCTGCGAACCCAAAACACAGCAGGGGTGCGCCAAGTCAGGCTACTGTGCTCTAAGTCGCGAGTCGCTCCTTTGAAATCTCTATCCCTTCCTCGCTTAGAGCTATGTAGTGCACTATTGTTAGCGCGACTAGTGCAAGGGGTCAAGACAGCTTTGAATTTGATTTGCGAAAATGAGTATTATTGGTCCGATTCAAGAGTTACACTCGCCTGGATTCAGGGTCCGCCAAATAGATGGCAAACTTTCGTTGCGAACAGGGTGTCGGAGATCCAGACATTATGCAAAGATCACCAGTGGAGGCACGTACCCTCGGGCGACAATCCCGCGGACATACTCTCGCGCGGAACCAGTCCAAGCTCGCTACGGATCAACCGGCTATGGTGGTCAGGACCATCCTGGTTGTCAAAGGGTGAACGTGCCTGGCCATCAATCGAGACAAGCGTTATAGAGGTGCCCGAAGAGAAGCAAAAACAGCATCTGTTTGTAGCAACGGTAGGGGAAGAATTCGTGCTCTTCCGCAGAATCTCCGAGTACACGCGACTGTTACGGGTAACAGTTTATTGCTTAAGATTCACGAAAAACGCGAAGCTTAAGAACAGTGCTACCGGTGAAGGCAAGACAGTATTAATTAGCGTCAACGAGATGCTCCGAGCCCGCGATAGATTAATATGGTTAGCGCAGCGCGAAGCCTATGCCGGTGAAATAGTTTCCCTAGAAAGGGAAGGGGGTGTGAGTGCGTCCAGTACTCTACGCGCGCTGGCACCCTTTTTGGACAAAGAGGGAATAATCAGGGTGGGCGGAAGATTAGGAAACGCCCCATTAGCCTTTAAAACACGGCATCAAGCTATCTTACCAACCAAACACCCGCTGACCGACCTCATAATCAGGCATGAGCATGTAAGGCTCTTGCATGCAGGAGGTCAGCAGACATTAGCCTCATTAAGAGAACAATATTGGATCATAGCCGCAAGAAATAATGTGAAGAGGGTCATTAGGGGATGTCTCAGGTGCTTCCGAGTAAAGCCACGAGTTGCCGAATGCGTGATGGGACAGCTACCTACTGAGAGGGTAACACCCTTTCGCCCATTCACAACTTGCGGGGTTGACTATGCGGGCCCGTTCGCTACAAAAGAGCGTACGCCTAGCAAGGTCACAGTCAAGGCTTATATTTGTATTTTTATATGTTTCGCCACAAAGGCCGTTCATATCGAGTTGGCCACGGACCTGAGCACTGAGGCATTCCTTAATTGCCTTAGAAGGTTTACAGCGCGAAGAGGTCGATGTCGTTGCATCATTTCCGACAATGCAACCAATTTTGTAGGAGCAAAAAACGAGCTCAAACAATTAAGCGAGCGGCTGAATTCTCAGCATCATAAAAAACGAGTGACTGAATTTCTAACAAAGCAAGGAATAGATTGGAAATTTATACCTCCTCGTGCTCCTCACTTCGGAGGACTATGGGAAAGCGCGGTAAGACTCGCGAAATATCACCTTAAGCGAGTTATCGACGAGCAAAGGCTCACATATGAAGAATTATACACGTTGCTGACGCAAATAGAATCCTGTATGAATTCTCGTCCTCTCACTCCATTATCATCCGATCCCGCAGATTTCGATACCCTCACTCCCGGACATTTTTTGATTGGCAATCGACTGACCGCGTTACCAGATCATGACATTACTCAATTAAAGACAAGCCGACTAGGTCGGTATCAGTTAATTCAACAGATGCTACAGCATTTTTGGAGGCGTTGGCAAAGGGAATACCTCCACCAGCTTCAGCAGAGGCACAAATGGACACAATCCACATCGCCAAAGGTCACCGAAGGCGCTTTGGTCATCGTCAAGGAGGACAACCTGCCTCCCTTGCTTTGGTCTCTTGGCAGGGTCATACATCTGCATCCCGGCAAGGATGGAGTGGCTAGGGTCGCCACCATCAAAACAACAGAGGCGGAGTACAAAAGACCAGTGACAAAATTGTGTCTGTTGCCGATCCTGGACAATGAAAGAGACTGACCACGCTCAGTGAAATAGTTTTAGAAATAATCTAACCATGTACATTTCTACAATTAGTAATACTTGTAATTTATTTTAAATATTCGTTATAAGTAATAATAGCGTTAGTTTCGAACGCGTAACACGCGTTCAAGGTGGGCGGGATGTCTGCGCAGCGGTTTATGGCACGGATATGCCGAAACGGTTATTTTTGAGAAGGGGACTTTGATAATTGGCAGCATGTAATTTTAGTAAAAATTACGTCCCGGCGAGAGAAAGTTGGGTTTACAACCCTCTGGCCTCTAAGGCGCTTTCCCTCGTCCTCAATAACCTAGCCCTGCCATAAAAAATGGGTCTTCCGAAGGGGTGAGTCACGAGTCAGCGTGTAACGGTCAAGGGACCGAGGTGACGAACTCGGAGGAATTCCCGCGCTGTTGCCAGACACTCGTCAATTTGACAAAGGACATCGCCACCCCCTCTCTAAGGAAACGCGCGTTAAGGGCGCAAGAGAAGGGTGTCGCGATGCATCTTCTACACGCCGATTGGTGTTTTCGAGAAGCAGGAAAACAGCCAATCGGAAGAAATTAGTATTAGCAGCGGCAAGTCGACGAGCGTCATCGATTTGCGAAGTCAGTTATCTCTGAGCAACGATAGAGCGAAGTCCTAACTCTGCAAGCCCAGCAAACAGGCTAGGCCCACAGAAACAATACAGTCTCAGAAAAGTAGAAACTCTTCTGGGTGGTCCTTCGAGTTATTGTAGACGGCACATTAGAGTGCAATAATCCAAGGACGCGAGTGCAACGGCAGAGCGCTCAAATCCTCCACAAAGTCCTTCCACAAGGCGAATAGGTCGGTTGGAATTGCCTCGTCCCAATCTAAGCTAGTTTTCCAAAATTGCTGGAAAAAGATTTTCGCTCTTACCACTACTGGTCCAAGTAATCCTAACGGGTCAAATATCTGTGCTATTTTTGATAGCATAGTACGTTTGGTCTCTTGCGCTTCGCGATTGATTATATTGACTCGATAAGTAAAATAGTCTTTGCGAGGCTTCCAACAAATTCCAAGGGTTTTCTTTATGTTATTACTATCTAAATAAAGGTATTCGTCCGTGGTTTGTCCCATGAAGCCTTCAATAAGCGATGGCTCATTAGATGCCCATTGTCGTAGATTAAAACCGCCGGCCTTGAGGATACCTATTAGTTGTTCCCTGAGTTTTATGGCGTCGTCTAGGGTCCGTGTTCCGGTTAATAGGTCATCCATGTAAAAATCGTTTTCAATGGTGTTTGCTGCTAAAGGATATGACGTCCTTTCGTCGCTAGCTAATTGTTGCAAGCAACGAACTGCGAGAAACGGAGCGCAGGATGTACCGTACGTGATTGTATTGAGGTGGTATGTTTTAATCGCGTCCTTCGGATTTTTACGCCATAATATTTTATAATAAACTGTGTCTTTCGGGTGTAAAACTACTTGTCTAAACATTTTTTCTATATCGGCTGTGAGTACATAAGCGTGTGTTCTGAAGCGTAGAATCAAGGAAAACAAATCGTCTTGTAACGTAGGACCGGTTAAGAGGGTGTCGTTTACACACAACCCGCTGCTGGTTTTCGCGGAGCCGTCGAAAACTACTCGGATTTTAGTGGTAAGGCTGCTAGCCTTTATTACCGCATGATGTGGTAGGTAATACCCTTGCTGACTGTTTACTGTGTCAGATATGTTTGTCATGTGATTCAGTCGCTCGTATTCTTCGATGAAGGCATTGTATTGTTCTCGTAGCTCACTATTCTGTTCTAATTTACGCTCTAAGCAGTAGAATCGCTTTAGGGCTACCTTGTAGGAATCGCCTAGCTTATCCTTTTTTTCGTTAAAGGGTAATCTAACTATGTATCGGCCGTTAGGATTGCGTTGAGTCGATTCTCGAAATAGATTCTCGCATTGTTCATCTTCGGGGGAAATTGATTTTGCGGATGGCTGCTCTTCTAGCTCCCAAAATTTAGCTAGTTGAGTATCTAAATTCGTGGTAGTCAAAAAACCCTTTATACTTGAATTGTTTGCTCCCTTATCTCCTACTTCTCCTGAGAAGACCCAACCCAATTGTGTCTCTTGTAATATTGCTGTTTCATTTTTTAGCCTAATTTGCCCAGAACGTATGAGTTTATAAAATAGGTATTCCCCTAATAAGGCGTCAATAGTGGCTGGTATATTGAAATAGGGGTCCGCTAATTCTACGTTTGATGGTATCTTTAAGTGTTCGCTGTCCACTATTCGCGACGGTAAGTATGAGGTTATAATTGGAATAACTAAGAATTTTGCTTCATGCTTAGAGTTGGTAAAGCGCGATTTGAATTGTGTGATAACTGAATGTTTTAAATTGGTTGTCTGATACCCTAAGCCTACTACTGGTATATTTATTTTACCTTTGTGAAGTTGTAATTTATTTGCTAATTCTTCGGTAATAAAATTAGATTGAGAACCTGCATCTAATAGAACTCTACATTCATGCTCTCGGTTGTGGCTATCGAGGATTTTAACCCGGGCGGTGGCTAATAAAACTTCGGATCTACCGACCGTAGTCAATGACATTAACGTACCTGGCTTGGGACTAATGAGCGGACTCGCTGAAGACATTAGTGAATTTCTATTCTGTGATGAATTTACTTGATTGTTAAGAGAATTAGGTTTTTCAATGTGCAGTAACGTGTGATGTTTTGCAATACATTTCCGACAAACACCCGCACGACATTGAGCATAGGAATGATTACCTCGAAAACAATTGACGCAAAGTTTTAGCGTTTTTATTAATCTCAATCTTTCTGTTGGTAATTGAGATAAGAGCTTCGGACATTGGGTTAAATAGTGATCGGCCTTGCAAAGGGCGCATATAATCGCGGTGTTGGTATTGACAAAGGCGTGCGCCTTATAGCCTTGTACCTGGCTTCGATACTCGGTTCGTATCGACTGGTTGTCGCGTTGTTTCCGGATGGGTTCGCGCGATGTTGAGATCAATTGTATTGGTTCGTCATCTCTCGCGTATTTATTTAGAAAGGCTAACAGATCTTTAAACTTGGGCATTATACTGTTTTCAAAGGTGCGCTCCCAGGAAGTGCGTGTAGCTTTATCTAATTTAGCTGTTACAACATAGATGAGAATCTCGTCCCAGTCTACCGGTTGCCTTAGCGAACGTAATGCGTTTACATGCATTTCGGCTGCTTCTGTAAGGGCGCGCAATGAAGACATACCCTTTCCTGTCATTTCTGGCAACTTGAATAATGCACGAATGTGGCTCTGAATTATTTTTCTAGGTTTGTTAAATCGCCTTTGAACTAATTCCCAAGCGACGAAGTAATTCTCCTCGGAAGCCGTTAATGAGTTAGTTACAGTGGCAGCGTTTCCCGTTAGATAAGATTTTAAAAGATGGAATTTGTGTATTATGGGAACGGTTTCATTATCGTGTATGAGTGATTTAAATGTGTCGTGAAAGTCTTGCCACTCGGCGTAGTTGCCATCAAAGGGTTTAATATGAATTTTAGGTAGTATAGACTGCGGTGCTGATATAGATGGTGTAACTACCGTATTACTATGAGGTGGAATTCTATTTAATTTATCTAATTCACGATCGATGAAGTCACCGCACTCGTAATATAAAATTTCAAAATCCTCGCGGTTCTGATCCTGCTGGGGATTATCGTCGATTGCTTCAATGCGACTTTGGACGTTGGAGAAACTAACATAATATTCTTCGAGTTTTTGCTTGCGCCGTTCTAATGCGGGAATGTCTACCGTTTCTAATTGTCGTAGATAATTATTTAATCGCGACAGTTGCGCCTTGACCGTTGCGCGTTCTTTAATGAGGTTTCTTAGTTCGGATGTCATTGTAACCGAAATCGAATTAAGGAATAACAATTGAAAGAAATGTGATAGATTTGATGAGTCGAGCCTACCTTTGTGATGATTTAAAGTTGGCTGCTACTCCTTTCGGATGTTTTCCTTCGTGGTGGTCAGGTGAGGGATGCGGTGATTCAGCTACTGGAGGCTGCCTTGCGATTCCTCTTTACCCCTGCTCGTAGAGTGATGATGCAGATTGCTGGCACGGGAGTCCTGGCTGGCCGTGCTGTACGCTGCTTCTCACTGCTGAATTGGCGGCACGGTCCTGATGTGTTGGCCGTGTCGTTGTCTGCTACTCGGTTGTTGTCCACAGATGGTGATATCACAGTATCAATTACTGTGATCTGAAATCTTCGTTGCTCGAAGCAGATCCCACTGACCAAATGTGGATCTTAATCTTCGTCGGATTGATTGCGGATCTCACTCTCCAAGGGTGGATCCGGCTCGAACGACCAAAATGTTTGGTACCGTGATCTTATTTCTCGGTTGGAAGATATCACGATGGATGATTCCCTATTGGTTGTTTAGTTTTAGGTTAAACTACGTTGTTCGGTTTTTTTTTAATATGTATACACCGTACACGCTCTGCTTCTATCCGTACATGTTCTGGTTCTCGGGCTTGCGAAAGCTACCTTTATACATGTTTTTGTAGCTGCTAATTTGGAAAAAGGGCCAGTCAACGCCCTTCCCAGAAAAAGGCCTCTTTCGCGAACCCTTATTGGCAGGTAGATAGAAGCGATGCAAGTCAACGGTGGGGGTGATCGGTCGCGTGGTTCGTGTTGAGGACACGACAGTACGAATGACTTTATTTGAGTAGGCGCCAGAAAAACGTATGCCCTGCAGAAACGAGTTTCTGCGCCCATAAAACACTTTCTGGGCCTCGATCTCTGGGTAAACGGAAAAGTTAATTCAAAAATAGATTTTGAAATGTGGTACTCAAAAATAGCGTAGATAGTCAACCGGGTCACAAAGTCAAACCCTTAACAATGATCAATTACGAGAACGCGACACGGAAACAAATGCATATTTATTTTTCAAATTCCAGCCACCGCGTCCCATGTTTTCAGAGAATAATGGGATGAGTGATCGTGAGTTGAGGATAGCTTCAACCTCAATTATTAATATATTCAGCGCTTCGTACGTAAATAATCTTTCACCTACGGTTTTGTACAGGTGCTTCTTTAACAACTTCAGCGCCGCTTCCCAGTGTCCTCAAAAATGAGGTGAGCGAGGAAATTAGTTTATTGTCTGTGTAGATGTTGCGTGTTTCACCCCTTCTAACGAAAAGGCGTTTTAAAGCTCCATTGTATTCCGTGGTGAGATCAGTGACAAATTCCAAATGAGTAGCCGCAAAACAAACAAAGACTACAACGAACACCTTTACCTTTTGTCGGTTATACTTCTTCTTTTTCTTAATATAAGCGGGGCCGCAATAATCTATCCCTACATTCTCAAAGAGGCGCGCCTAGGCGACTCATGTCTCAGGTAAGTTACGTATGACGTAGTATGGAACTTCCGAACTTAACCTTTAACAGCGTATGCATTTGTGGATGACTTTTACTGTGTTCTTACCGTCGATCAGCCAATATGTTTGTCTAATCGCATTGAGGATTGCGCTTTTTCCGGCATGATAATGCCGTAAATGCATATCTCGTATTATGAGATTCGTTACGTGATGATTACGGGGTAAAAAATTGAATGTCATCTTCATTTCTCAAAAAATAATACAAACACAAAAAATTCACATACGTCGTTATATCGTTTACAAAAAACTCATAAATTGAGAATTTTGAGAGATGAGAGATGAGAATTTTCTCATACTCACCGTTTACGAGAAAAACGCTGGATAATAAATCCGTGAACATTTTGTATAAATTATGATTACCTATAATTATATTTTTTATTTGTGGCTTCTTGCGTTGAGTTTTCTGACAACAGTTGTTCTAATTCTAATGAAGATAAGAAGGCTGTCGCTTCTTCAGGTGATATTTGTCCTTTACTTATGGTTGAAATCAGTTCTTCCAAATGTTCATCTTCGTCCAGATTTGTAGCGTCTGAAGGCGCCGCGATTATTTTATTCCAGTCATTTTTTAAATTTTCCGTAGTGATCTCGGCCCACGCTTGCATCAGTATTTCCAGACAATCTTTTATGTTATAATTTTGATAAAATTCGTTCATTCCTCCTTCACATGTCAACACCGTACGTAACATGTACTTTCTGTACAGTTTCTTTGTCTTTCCTATTATTCCCTGATCTATGGGTTGCATAAGAGATGTCGTATTTGGTGGTATATATATTACAATTGAAACCGTTCCGGTCCTGTACATCTTCTGGTACTCGATGAGCCGTACAATTGTCCAGTAACAAATTTACTTTACCAATGATACCTTTCCCTATTTTATATATGCGAACACTTGGCTTAAAATAGTTTTCGAACCAATCCATAAATGATGGTTGATCTACCGAGGCATTTTTTGTGATTTAAAGATCACAGGAAGTCTATGCAACGAATGTTTCAATGCCCTTGGGTTGCGATATTTATAAATAACTAAGGGCATCATTTTATTCGTTCCTGTTGCATTTGCGCATATCCCCATTGTGAATCTGTCTTTGCGACTCTCATTTCCGCTAACATTCTTTTCCTATGAAAGTGTATTTGTTAGAATAACTTTCCATAAAAGACTATTTTCGTCCATATTAGAAATATTTTCCGAATTGATGTCCTCTTGCTCGACCCATTACTGAAAATGCTGAACAAAATGCCTTTGCTCCAGCTTCAACAGCACTTACCTTTTCCCCATACGCTTTGATTAAACGTATATTATGTCGATATTTAAATTTTGAAAACTACGATTTACTAATTTTGAAATTTGAATAGGACAAAATATACTGTTTCAATTCTGTAGCTTTTTCTAACATTAAACTATCGATTAGAAAATCATCAAGAGTTCTTCTTTTTGCGAACCACATAAACAAACGGTGCTCCAATTCCTCGTACATCGGTCTCTGCCGTTGTCTCTGTCCTTTGCTTTTTGCAGCAAATTCGTGAATACGCAACATCTTTATGCGACGGATAGTTATTGGATGCATGTGATGCTTTGCAGCAATGGTTGAAATAGGTAAAGTTTTCAAGTCCTAAAAGACCTGTATCCGTTGTCGCATTGACAAAGTCTGACGTTCTACTCGACGTAATCGTATTCTATAACTATGGCACTCTTGAACTCTGATTTAAAACTGAACTTCGGTATGCCACGAGTTTCTGATCCTAATTATCATATTCCTTCCATGCGGGTGGATAATGTAATGGAATTCTTATTTCTGATAGGCAGCTATTTGTTAAGGGGATATTCTGGTCTAGCACGCGAGTTTCGTTGCTAACGTTCAGAAATTTTTATGAGAAATCAAAGTAAGTGTAGCGCACGAAATTTTTTTTTACAAATTAATCGTTCTTTTAACATTTACATTTTTTTTTTTATCGTGAAGAAATAAGTATGACATACTCGTATGAAGACCTGAAGATTCCGAATACGTCCAACTAGTTTCCACGATTCCGCCCTTCGTGTGCATCTGACACATATGAATCAATCAAAATCATGTTCAGTAAGAACGGCGCTGTCATCTGTACTAGAATTATACATTACAATTAATTTTTAACAAAATGGTGCCATGTTAAATGGAAAAGTCCCTTTAACTGTGGGATCAATTTGTTAATTAGAGGCGCAATTTTGCAGATATTTTTATAATTTTGGTTCAGACGAGAATAACAACATTTTGGAATATCTATGTATGACTTTGGACATGCCGTTATGGAGATATCGTGGCAATCATTTCGTAAAATATGGTTTCGAGAAAATCGCGTTTAATGTTTTACTTGAAGTTTAGAAACAATAAAGAGAAATTAGATGCACTTACATTCAGTCGGCAATACCTGCACTACACAGCGACCTTTCCTCTTCTTCATAAAAGTCTAACTGTGTCGATTGTTGGTATCTATGAGCAATTCGAGCCTTTTTTGTTGCGTCTAACTTGCGCTGCACAGATCTGATGCGACGCACCTCAGCCTCGTTACGGATAAAATTCTTAGTCCTTGGTCCAATTTCCACTCCCAATTTGTATTGTTTTCGGTCCAGAATGTATATGCTTCGGGGCAAAACTCCATATCAGAGAATTGAGACTCTCGTTACTATTTTGGGTGTTGGCTCCCACACATCTTTCTAGTAGTTCATATGAGCTCAAACCCTCATAAGTGGGTTTTTATTTTTAAGAGTACTTTTCCTCTAGAGGCGTTTTATTATCTGTAAAAGATGCCAGCGTGCCCGCAGCCTCTGCTTTACGCTACTTGCACCAACTGTTGCTTCCTGCTGGACAAAGCTATGAAAATACGTTGTCCATATGTCATTCTTCATTTTTTTAATCGCATCGGGATTTCTTCTAATTGCTAAGCCGTAATATATTGTTAAATCACCGATCACCTTAGCTGTTTATTTTCCCACTCCTTTTCCACCAATGCCCTTGTGATTCTTTTTCACATTCCGCAATCTCGTGCTCATTCTTTTTTCCACATGACCCACGCATTCTTTCTTTCGTACGATGGCTTCTTCTCCATAGGGTTTGTTTCGTATGACTTTAGTGAGATAGATCAAGACTGCGCAGGTGACTAATAAGAACGATTATATTTGGCAAAATAGATGAGAATACACTGGCAGACACGAATAATAAAATACAAAAGAAAAGTTGAGGATAACGGAGATTGGCACACGAACGAAAACTTAGCGGAGCATGCTGGTAAAGGTACTTCAGTATGTTCCGTAGGGCAGAATCGTATAAAAGGACGCAAAAGGCCGAAAAGCAAAGTCTAGACTGTTTCTATTTCTTCTGTATAACGTTGGAGCGGCAGCGACAGGACAGGCCTGAGGTGATTGAATCTTGCGACGTCCTCTCGCCCGTGTTTTATACCGAAGGGACCACCGAAGACTCCCGACTGTTG